TAGGATGCAAGCAGATTTTGACATCAAATTTTGGGGTAAAAAAGTGCGTCTTTTGGACAGACATTACATTGTCCACAGTTAGCTCATAACCTTACTGTTAACTTTTAGAATTTGGTATTATTTTAAACATTCAATGTTTTGATCAATTTTTTATAACCTTCGAAATATGGGACATTGGCATTTTACGTTTTTACTGCATATAACACCTATTGTAGTTATATCAAAAACATTTAAATTCGTAAAATCCAGATAAGACTACATCTTTGATATTATCTCCACACACCATGTACCCCAGTGACCACTTGTTTTTGGAATAGGTTGGTTTGGTTTGGCATGGTAGGAATTTAGGTTAAAAGTATATTTCATTCTCTGAAGGCCATTTGGAAATAGAGAAAACAGGTTTGTTTTTAACTTTATAGAGAACAACCAATTATATAATTGGTCACAAGTTCCTCCCCGCAAAACAGAAGCACTCCTAAAGGCTATACAACTCTTGGAAACTAAAAAGGATCCTGTCTACTGCAGTTGGCAAATCGCCAACTCAAAGGTCATGCCTCTTTTTCTTCTTCTTCTTCTTCTTTAGGGAGGGTTCAGTCTTGGCAACTTGCCATCTCCTACTTTCAGGTTGGTTTACTTTGTTGCTAGGGGCTGCGTTTACACTGGAGTGATTCACTCTCAATTAAATAGTACATCCGGGTAACCAAAATAACCTATCTATTTCAGCGCATATCCTTTAGGATTAGTACATGCATTCCAATGCCTGAATTATTTCATAGTATTAAAACTGGTAACAAATACAGATCACAACACTTTAATTAAAAATCATAACTAAGTCTAAAATAATTTAACCAGTTCTTTATTACCCCTCTGTAGTGATAAATAGACTCGGCCATCGTCTGACATCAGGTTCCTAAAAGTAGGCCTACAAGATAGCTTGGCTTTGTGCCAATGTTGTGGTACTACATACATGAGTCATAACTTTATTAATTTTCATTAAATGTTAAAAGTAGCCAGCGCTGTGAGAGTTATTATCGACCTATCGAAGTTATTTTTATTTATGCCCATATTTGGATAAAGCCAGGAGAAATGTGGTAAGATAACGAAAATAAATTAACAAATGTTGTGTTATATTTCTAGTGTACGATTTATTTGTTGGAGTTTGTGAAATTATAAAAGTTGGAGGTTGACCTTAAAAGTTAAATTCGTGATTTATCAGTTAACAAACAACACACTTTTATTTATTTTTTTAAAAGGATATATTTTCAATTTTTATGAAAAAGTGAGTGGTGTAAAACTTATGGCTGTGACTGTAATGTATATTACCTTTCTGGTTCAGTATTGTGTTAAAATTAATGTAAATAAAGAAAAAAATGTGTGTACACAGTGTATTTATTTCTGAAAGCTTTGTATATTTCAATGTTGGCATGACAGGGTAATTTGCAAGCACAAGGGACGCGTTTAAGAATTAATTGCTAACATGCAGCTTTGTCGCGCGTTGTTGCCAATGCGAACAATTGTTATCGTTACCTTCTGGCTTTGTTTAAGCATTAGTTCAACGAGCGTTGAGATTGAAAAATACAATATAACAGCTTCATTGAGGGGCATGGCACTTCTGATAAGCAACTTACAGTTTACTGTAATTTAGTGTAAATGTGAGATACCCAGTTTTTTTGTTTTAAATCAACTCTGGAAACTTTTTTTTTAATCTAGTGACGGTTCGAGCAACTACTCGTTTTCGGGCTAAAGTATGAAAATAAAATTATGCCTAAGAGCATTTACTCAAACCATCACTATGTAAAATCTGTCTGTCTACTTTAAACGTTATTTTCTTATACTGATTTTGTTTTATTGTATTTATCTTCTAACTTTGGGCAAATTCCATTTGTTCTTAAAGCTTTTCTTTTGCCTGACATCTATCCTTTATTACAGTCAACATTGAACTAACAGTGGCATCATGGTAGTTCCAACACTGATAGGTAATTTTGATTGTATTTGTAGGTTTCCAACAAGTCAGATTATTATGCTTATAATCAATATAATTCACAACAGCTAAAGCAGAAAACGCTGTTTTATTCTTTGCATATCCATTGTTTTTCAAACCTTTATTTCAAACTACTCATAATTTGACAAACGGGAAAAGTGTTCACATTCGGTTTTTATATATCCACTTTTCTTCTACAAATCTTAAGATGCATTCATTCTAAACATCTCTCTCTCTCTCTCTCTCTCTATATATATATATATATATATATATATATATATGTGTGTGTGTGTGTGTAGTAATAATAGTATAGT